CGAAAAAGAGGCCATTATGGGGGTCAATAAAATTGATGTCAAATTATACCTAACACTCTTACCTTTCCAAGATGCTACAATCTGTGGTCCACCGACCACTTATTGGATAGGTGTTTTCTTTCAAACGGGTTCAAGACCCGAGATAAACCCGTATCCACTTATCCGATATAGGCAATATATGTAGCCTATATCGGATAAGTGGATACGGGTTTATCCCGGGTCTTGAACCCGGGTTCTCGGGTCAAAAATCTGGAGTTCCGGATCCGTCCCCCAAGAAAAAAAAAATAGTTTCCCGGAATGAGGGCAAAAATACCTATCTCTGTAAAAAAATCGAAGAGTTTTTACTAAACTAGAGTTGTTCCCTTCCTATTCTTTAATTTTCCAGTTCCAAAGTTACCCATCTACATTTATGGCATAAATATATTTTTACAAACCACATCCGATTTGGAATCCCTAAAAATGTTCACATAATAGCATCTCGTTGCATATTCATGTTCATCGTGAAATATTTTAGCATTATTCACTATATTCACTGACATTTGATTATGTGTTCGATCCGTCACTATTTCGAAAAATTCTTGTTGTTTGTCCAAATGTGTGTGTGTTTTGTCAAAAGCTATTGAACGACGTTTTAAATATTACCATGACTATCCGCCATGGCAATATGGTGACGTGGATGAAGATGCTGGTATGGTGTTTAATGAATTTCGATTAAATGAAGTTTAATGGAGTCACGGCATTTTCGTTGAACTGTATTTGTTTGTGTTAAGCGGAGGCGAAGAGATTTTTAATTTTTGTTTTCTTCCATGAACTAAGAATGAAAACGAAAAAAAAAATACGTGAAAGGTTATGTTAAATGATTGATTTACATTTCGTTGGAAGGCATAATTGAAGGGACGGGGGGAAAGTGAAGGGGGAAAATGTCTTTTATTGTTAAAATGTCAATTCAATTGGAAGTTACGATTTTAGGTACATTTGATATGAAATTTTAGAAATTAATATAATTTAATTGAGTCAAAATTAAGAAGTGTGGAATTTTATAGAAATTTTAAAAAGATTGAAAAAAAATAATTTTGTTATGACATTTGTGAGGCCTTGAAATATTTTCCGAAGATCTCCTAAGGTGTATATTTCCTCGATCAGCGTAAAATTTCTTTCAGATGTATCACTTATCGAATGTTTATGAGATGAAATCATACTGGAGCTAGCAATATTCAAGGTAGAGCTTCTAGGATGTCTAATGACCTCATATTTGAATTCTGTGGCCCTAATTTCCTACCGATTTAGGAATGACTTCTAATTTCATGTTCTGAGCATGTAGAGAATTTTTTCCTGTAAAAAAGTTGAATTTAGGTTACCGAGTCTACATTTTTCAATATTTAAGGGCCAATTTCAATCTTATACATGGTATGTTTTCTTGATATCTCTTAACATTTCTAGAAGATTTGTGGTCTAATTACAAAATGGCTTCAGCTTAGAACCGCTATTTTATATAGACCCCATTGGACAGTACCTTTATATATTCGAAACACCTATAATGGGGAGTGTTGGTTCTTCGTAGGAAAAAGTTAAATGTTTGTTTTCTCTTTCGAGACGAGCTTAATGATCTCAATTTTGCAGTGAAAAGGAAAGCCAGATAGACACTATCACACACTCACCACTATGCGACGCGTTTCGCCGTTGGTTAAGCGGCTCACCAGGCATATTTGGTATGGATGATGGCTTACAAGGGCCGTTCTCTGGAAAGTAGTATATATTTCGAACTTATTGCAAATTAGCATATGCGAATTATACACTAGAAACTCTCCAGGTTCGACTCAAGTTCTATTGGCAGATCTTTTTCACAGCAAATTTTTTTGTTTTTTTTGTAGTGATGGATTTTTTATCCACAACAACTACATTGCTTCCAATGCATACACTTGTTTTAGTGCTGCTTTAGGAAGACGGGTTAATGACTCTGAACGTAGAGACGGCAACTTCTATTTGACTGCACACCGAGGTCCGTGGTCTCGAAAGCTCGTCTCGAAAGAGAAAACAAACATATAAATCATAAAACATATGATCTTCGCCTTAACAAGGCAAAACGGAAAAAGTTAAAGTTATGAAAAATTTTTGAATATAGGTAAGTTTTTGACATGAGCCCCTTATGGCAATGGCCGATTTTAAGTGTGTTGAAGGTTTTATTCACAACTAGCAAATGCCCGCTACTTCCACAGCGATAAATCCACCTTAAAATTTTAGATTATTTCCAAGTGTTGGTATTAGGCCTTTTTAATACTCGTAATGGCCATTTTGTTCAGTTTGAAAAAAATTGTAATCAAGACTTCATACCTCGCACTAAATTTTTAGACTATCAAGGTTTTTTTTTCCTTTTTCAAAAGAATAACAGGAAAATGTTTACCTTTTACAGCAAAATTTAGTACCGTTCAGTACTTTTTGAACAATTATAGTACACATTTGCAAAACCACTATCAGATCTCAACATCAGATAGCAACAGAGACCTCAATATCAAATCTCGGGATTTCAGATCTATATATTCACCTCATACCAAATTTAGTACCACTTAGTATTTTTCGAACAATTATAGTACACATTTATAAAATCACCTCTATATTTTAATAGCAGATACCAACAGTGGAATCTATACAAAATTTCAATGATCCAACATTAGAACCATTTAGTACATTTCGTGCACTTTTAGTACGTATTTGCAAAAACCACCACCAGATAACAACCTCAATATCAAATTTCAGGATTTCAGCTCTATTCCTTTAGCCTATACCAAAATTAGTACTTTTCGAAAAATTATAGCACACTTTTCCGAGACCATCTCAATATCTTAATCGCAGAAACCAACAGTGAATCAATATAAAATTTCAGGATTTCAGCAAATTTCGAACAATTATAGTACACGGTTCCACAGCCAACTCTATGTCTCAATCCCGGATATCAACAGAGACCTCAGCATCAAAATTTCGAGATTCCAGCTCTATTCCATCATCCTATATACAATTTAGTACCATTTAGCATTTTCCGTACAAATATAGGATACATTTCCAAATTTCAAAATTGTATCTCTATCTCTATACCTTTACTCAATACCAAATTTAGTACCATTTAGTAATTTTCATACAACTACAGTACAGTAATTTCCGAAACCATCTCCACATGTCTAGGCTACACATGAACAGCGACTGTAATACAAAATTTCATATCTTAAGTCCTATCTTCACCCTAAACCAGACGGTTCCAAATTTAGCACAATTTTGTCCAGTTGGCACACTTAGCACACGAATATAGGGATGTACCGATATATGGGGGCTATAGGAAGACGTGGGCCTGCTTAGACAATTTTCTGTCGTAGGCTGTAGTACCCATTACGAACTTCAAATACGAAATTTGAAACAATTCCGGTCAAAAATGTCGATAAAATCATCAAAATACCGAATATAGGAAGGTACTGTCATATGAAGACTATACGAAGACGTGGGTCTGCATACGCAATTTTTTGTCATAGACTGAGGTTCTCATTGGGAACATAAAATATGAAATTTGAAACAATTCGCTTAAATCATAAAAACCCGGATATAGGGAGGAATTGTTATGTGGGGGCTATACGAAGACCTGGATCTCCATAGACAATTTTCTGTCATAGACTGCAGTAGCCATAAAGAACTTCAAATACGAAATTTGAAGCAATTCCGGTGAATAATGTCGTTAAAATCATCAAATATCGGGGGAGTACGGTTGTATGGGGGCTATACGATATCGTGGACTTATATAAACAATACTCTTCCATGGGGTAAGGTATTTAGAAAGAACTTCTTGTGGGGAATTTCAGACAATTCAATAGAAAAACATGCCCCAAATAATCAAAATACCGAATATCGGGGGGAGTACCATTGTATGGGGGCTATACGATATCGTGGACTTATATAAACAATGCTTTTCCATGGGGTAAAGTACTTAGAAATAACATCTTTTGTGGATTTTCAGACAATTCCATTGAAAATTTTGGCTACAATCATCTAAATACCGAATATCAGGGACAACGTTAAATGGGGGCTGTATGATATCGTGGACCGATATAGCCCATCTTCGAACTTGACCAGCCTGCAGACAAAAGACTGATCTGTGCAAAATTTTAGCTTCTTATCTTAATTCGTTTTGACTCTAGCGTGATTATAACAGATGGACAGACGGACAGGGCTAAATAGTCTTAGCATTTTACGCTGACCAAGAATATATACACTTTGTTAGGTCTAAAATTATTATCTCGATGAGTTACATACTATGTATGGTAGAGGGTATAAAAATAGTAGATCTTTAGAGATTGTAAACCATTACGAATACCAACGATATTAAATGTTCTCGAGCATTTCTAAATTGAAAAATCTCCCCGATGACGCTCATTTCATTTATCCCCTTCTAATTTTGTAATAGCTTACACTTTACATACGCTCTTTAAACATTTACTAATGCAGACTGCTTACAAATCAATATTGGCAACTGGCGGAAAAGGAAGTAATCACTCAATTTCTAATAAACTTTAATTTACATTTCCCTCCCACTTTTCCGTACACCCGCCGGGGGATACGTTTAAGTACTTTAAATGTTCAACATGTCGAACTGGTAGTTGAAAAGATTAATTGAACTTGCCTTGTGCAGACTCTGCGTCAGGTTGGCAGGAAGGAGAAGAGGTCCACACAAAACAAAGCAAAATGTATGTACACAGGTTGTAATACAAAATTTTGCTGCAGTCAAACATTGTTTAGCAGCAGTCACACACCAATGGGTTTTGCATCGAACTTACACACACACAAACTCACACCATCCAAAAAGAAAATACAATTTATAAACATTTGATTTACTTTTTCACTTTGCACTGCAGCAGCAGACAGTTAAAAGAGATATTTTACTGGCGCAGTTTTTAAAACTTATTTTTCAATTTTCTACATTTTTCTGATTTGTTGTGTTTTCTGTTGTTGTTTATTTTTAGATTCCCTGGCACGTGCCCAAGTCAATGTTGAGCCCAACACAGCCGTCCTCAATGAGGGTGATCACACGGAACTGTTGTGTCGTTATGCCCATCACTCAATCACCTATTGTCGAATCGAAATCCCTGGAGAGTCGAAAGTATTCAATTTATCGCCCGATTGGAATAAAACGCCCGGCTTTGAGTACTTTGGACGCGGCCTGACCAATGGTGAATGTGGTGTTAAAATTGCCCATGTAAAGGCGGTCAATAATGGTCAGGTCAAGTGTAATTTGGGTGTCCAGGGTGAGGAGTTGTCGGGCACAATTGATTTGGTTGTGGCATGTAAGTAATTGATTTTCTTGGAGTTTTATTTGGGGGAGTTAATTTTATCTTCATGCGTTTTTATCTTCTGCAGTACGTCCCAAACAACCCCTGGTCGAGTTGATTACCAAGCCAGACAATGAAGGCTATTTCAGTGAAGGTGTAACATTCCAAGCCCGTTGTATAGTGGCCGATGGTCGCCCTTATGGAAACATCACTTGGTATTTGGATGATGAACCAGCCAACAAACATCTCAGCGAAATGGATTATGTTACCTCAAGTCCCACCAGCAATGGCCTGGAATTGACCACCACCATTCAGGGTATCAGCTGGATTTTGGGACCCGAAGATAATAACCGTAAATTGGTGTGCCGTTCCCATCATCAAACTGATCGCGATAGTTTGCCACCCCAGGAGGGTTCCTATCATCTTTTGGTGCGCTGTAAGTACACGTCCATCTCGAATGGCCTTGAAACCCCTTGAAAGCTGATATCAAGCTCTAATTTCCATCTTCCATTTTTTTTTCCAGATGCCCCTCTACCCCAAGAAGATATCTCTGTCTATGGCCTTTATTTGGAACACACAGCCCTCATTAATCTGACCATTCGTGCAAATCCCGCCCCCATCATCGAATGGACCATTGACGGCGAAGTTGTACGCCAGAGCGAAAAAACTGGTCGTTTCTCGGCTTACGCACCTCAATACTTGGGACAAGACATGTACAATGTTACCTTATTGATTGCTGGCCTAACATTGGAGGACACAACAAAGACCTATCAGATGAGAGCAACAAATGCATTGGGCCACACCGATTACACAGTTCGCATTAGTTCATCGGCCACCCCGCCATCCAGTGGCTTGGAAATTGGTGCCATTGTTGGCATTGTTGTTGCTGTAGCTGTTCTCATTCTGATTGTTTTATTGGTTGTCTTTGCCCGTGCCACAGGAAGATGGTGTTTCGGAGGTAAGTGTTCGAATTGTTTCGCTAATATCCTCTTTATTTGTTCTTTTGTGATTCATGTATTGAAATGTATGTTCTAACAAAAACAAAATTAGCTTAGTACTAAAACAAAATTTTAAATTTCATATAAAACATCATTGTAGTTGTTTGAAGATTGATTTGAATCAATATTTTTTTGAAAAAAAAAAAATAACAACAAGTCATTGAAATGGCTCTTTAGGGAATCTCAATTTCTAGGGAATTTCAATCTAGTGGTAATACAAATGATAAATATTTTTTTAATCACCCTGAAACAGGTTATTCGTATCAATGGATTTTCCAAATTTTACCTCAAATTTGAAAGTATGTAGTTGTCATTTTTGAAGTGCTGAAAGTGTCCCCAATGCTTACTCCCTTTTTGTGGGTATTGTGTTTCGATTCTAATACACTGTGCGACAAAATTCAACTTTTTCAATAAATAGGTGGGAAATCCATCAGGTTATGAAAATAGAGCTAAAGAGAAGAAGACCCGTGTATTGGGGTTTTGAAAGGAAAAATTACTAGCGTAGAGGGGGCAATTACTAGGGTAGAGGGCATTTACCAGGGTAGAGGGGGCAATTTACCCCTCTAGAGAACTTTTGGAAATTTTCGTATTAAGATTCCTCGAAATACGTGCACTCCTGATACAAACGGGAAATATTGTGTTTGAAATTATCCGATAATTCCAAAAACTGCAACAAAGTCAAACGACATAATTTTTACATTTAAAAAAAAATATTGAATGAAAGCCAAAAATGTCGGAAATAGCATCAAATTTTAGAATAAGTTTAGATTTGTTCGAATTGGTCACTTTTGACACGAATTATGGCCTTTAAACGGCCAATGAAACCGTCACACGCTGCCCGAATGTTGCTCTGCGGTATTTTGACCCATTCCCGGCGAAGCACTTGCTTGAGGTGATCGACACTTTGGTATTTTTTAGTGCCAACCTTGCTTTCCAAAATACTCCAGACACAATAGTCCAACGGATTGGTATCCGGAGATTTTGGTGGCCATTGTGAGCTGGAAACGAACCTCATTTTGTAACCATTCTTAGGTGGCGCGTGCTGAGTGCGATGGTGCTGAGTCCTGTTGTTGTCCAAGGCTTTAATACACCCTCCAGAATATTTCCGCGATAATATTCGGAATTTATTCTGGTGCCACGGTCGATTAATACGAGCGGAGAGCGATCGTAGGCTGTTACGGCGGCCCACACCATCACCATGGCCGGCGCATGAGTTCTGGTGGTCAACCGAATGTGCACATTTTCAGCTGACCTTTTTGGCAAGTAAACACGAAAAAGTTCACGACTTTCGGCCAAGCGAAGTAACTCTTCAGCTCTTTTGAGTCTATTTTCTTTCTGTTGCGGTGTAAGTTCTTGCACTTTTTGGTATTTCAATGGCTTTACCCCGAGCTCATTTTTCAATATTTGCCGAATGGAATATTGCGATGTGTTCAGCTCATGGGCCATTTTTCGGCCACTGCGACGCGGGTTTCGATCAAGTCGCTTCTTTACTTTTCGAACCATTTCAGCTGATGTTGCTGTTTTCTTCCGTCCACTTCCTTGACGTGGGGCTACGCTACTAGTATCACGGTAACGAGCGATGGTACGAGACACAAAATATATATACACATTTAAATGCTGGAGTGCTCTAACGATAGCCACTTATGTTTTTCAAGTCAAAACGAACCTCATCGAAATATCGGCTTAAACCACCAAGTCTCTTTGAACCAAATCCATTTGAAGACATTTGGAGTCGATCTAGCGATGTCCGTCCGTCTGTCTGTGTGGCTGGTACGCACGATAACTCTCGAATAGAGAATTCGATTTGGTCCAAACATTGTAATATTATTATAAATTTCGGAGGTGGACAAAATCGGTCCAGTGCTTCTGGTACCTCCCCCACAAAACGTCGAAATTTCCAAAAAAAAAAAAATATATTTTACTGCACAGAAAGAGAAAGTATAATCTGATTTTGCTTTAACTTTGCAAATCCTAATATTTACATCAGTTCTAGGTCAGGTGCGAAAATGGAGAATATCGGTTCACACCATCAAGTACCTCCCCCACAAAGGGTCAACATTTTGAATAATTATAACTCTTATAAAATGTGATGTATATATTTTTTTAACCCACGGTCTGGTGTGAAGGAGGTCCACTCCTCCTGGTACCTTCCCCCCAGAGGGTCAACATTTTGAATATTCATGAAGCTCATAAAACACGAAATTACTATCCGATTCCATTCAGGCTTGGCACATCCCAGCATTTCTATCAACCCAAGATCTGTTATAAAGATGATAGAGATCGGACCATTCCTTCAGGAACCTCCCCCAAATCTCAAATAACTAAAACGATTATAAAATCCGAAATAAACATCCGGTTTTCTTCATATTTCACACACCCCATCATTTCTACTAACACAAAATCTGCTGTGAAGATGGGATATATCGGTCTAGGCCTTCTTTTATCTCCCCCACGGAGGGTCAAACTTTTGAATATCCATGAAGTGCATAAAATGCGGAATGGGCAATATTGGCCCATTCCTTCAGTATTTACTCCATGGAGAGCCAACAATTTGAATACTCGTACAGAAGTCAAAATATATTTCAATAATCGAACATTGGCTGAGGGTATACATCTTTCGGCAAAACGGACGTTTTAACTTGTTGTAACAAATTTAAGTTCCAACATTCAGTCGAGGTTTTAATTTTGAGATTTTTCTTGAGAGTCCCTATTGTTGTAAAATTTAACGAAAAATGCTCTCAAAGCGTTATATTCACACTCACAAATGCTCTGAAATCTGATTTGCTCGGTCCTAACATCAATCTCATTTTCTTTTATACACATAAATATTTCAATCCCTGAACATTAGACTAACAACTTCTATTAATTAGCATTTCACAATAAGTCCCTCATTAGGCTCTATTGCCATTTACACACACTGCATATGTATGTATATAGCATTGTCATGGCACTTGTTGCTTACAACATTATTGTCCTTAAGATTTTCCCTGCAACAGTGTTATAATACAATTTCTTGTTCTCGTCTTCTCCGCCGGAGAAGGATGTGCAATTCCTCTCGAAGAAAAGCGAAGAAAATCGGATTTTAATTAAATTTTCAAAGTTTATAACATGACTGCAAACAAAAGCCAAAGATCCTTACCGGTAATACATATCAGCATTTTTGCTTCCTTTTGTGATTCACTTTCTTCGGCTGTTTCAGGATTTTATGTGTGTGTGTGCGTGTGTGCAGACACCATAAATGAGAAGATTATGGTAAAAGATTTTTCCCACAAGGAAATTATGCATACATCATGTGTTATATTCTTTACACGTATGTGTGTACATATGTATGTGGTGTAAGTATGTATGTCTCTGCAGATGTTTTAATTATGACTGGTATACATGTATACAGTGAAACCTCCAATTATTTGATATTAGGACCTTAATATTTTGGAAAATCAGAATACTGTAAATTTTGGTCGAAAATAATGAACAATGAGTTATTCCATTAAATGCCTTAAAGAACATATAACATAAATATTTTAACATAACATTTGTTATTGATTACCATGTAATGAGTAAAAAAGCGCATAGCGTGTGTGTCCAACTAAAATACTTAGGCTTGTGTATATGAAGCTAATTTTGGCCGGGCGGGACTTTTTATACCCTACACCATTTGGGATCAATTTGGCAATTTTCAAAAAATAAATCCTTTAAAAATTCTGTTAAAGTCTCAAAAATACCGAAGATAGCTGATATATTGGGATAGATAAGAAGACGTGGACCTGCATAGGCAACTATTGTCATAAGCCGTTCTCACGTGTCATAAGCTGTAGTATCCATTACGAACTTCAAACACCATATTTGAAACAATTCCGGTTAATAATGTCGCTAAAATCATGATTTCCACAGACGAACAAACCGACGGACATCGTTAAATCGACATAGAATTTCATGCTGATCAAGAAAATATATTCTTTGTGGGGTCTAAAACGTATATTTCGAGGTGTGACAAACGTAATATACGGAATAACAAACGTAATATACACTCCATACTATTGTGGAGGATATAAAAGGCAGATAAGTTCGACCGGGCCGAACATTTTATACCCTTCACCATTTGGAAGGAACTTGAAAAATTAAAAAAAAAATCTGTCGAAAAATACCGCTCAACTGAAAACCGTTATATGGGGGCTTTACAAAGACGTGGACCTGCATAGCCAATATTCCGTCATAGGTTTTAGTACCCATTACGAATTTCAAATACGAAATTTGTTACGATCCTGGTTAATAATGTCCCCAAATTTATCAAAATATTAAATATCGGGAGGTATCATTATGTGGGAGCTATACGAAGACATGGACGTTGGTAGACAATTCTCTTCCAAGAGGTAAAGTACTCAGAAGAAACCCCTTGAGTGGATTTTCAGACAATTCCATTGAAAAATTTGGCTACAATCATGAATATACAGAATATCGGGGGGGTGGGGTTACCGTTATTACCGGGATTATACGATATCGGGGACCTTCTAGGGGGGAAAGTGCTCAGCACGAACTCCTTGTGTAGAATTTCCGACGATTCCATAAAAAATGTGACTATAATCAGCAAAATACCGAATGTCGGGAGGTGCCGTTATATGGGGGCTATATGTTATCGTGGACCTATATAGACGCTTCTCTACCAGCGGGTAGTGTACTCAGAAGGAACCCCTTGTATAGAATTTCAGACAATTCCATTAAAAAATGTGGCTAAAATCGTCAAAATAAGGAATATATGGGGGTACCGTTGTGTGGCGGCTTATGATATCGCGGACCTATATAGACAAATCTTTCGAGGGGGTAATATACTCACAAGGAACTCCTTTTATGGATTTTTAGACAATTCTATAGAAAAATTGGCTGCAATAATAAAAATACCGAATATCCGTATGTGGGGATGTGCCGTTATGTGGGGGATATACGATATCGGGTTAGAACTCAA